CAAATACTTCAGGTGATACACTCGTACATAGTGCTATAAGAAGCAAGAATTTATCCGCGCTGCAGTTTCTATGTGCTCATAAAGCTGATGTCAACTTGCGTAATAAAGAGGTTCGTTGTTGTTGTTGTTGTATCTGATCAAGACTTTCACCACTACGAGCTATTAAAATGATTTTTCAAATATCTCAATTCAAAAACTCGCACAATTGTCGAGTCAATACCAGATTCATTCCAATATCAATGTTGCAGGGTTTGACAGCGTTGCATTTAGCCGTTTCGCAGCCAGAATTCCAAGCGGACATATTGCGATTGCTGCTGAAATCTGGAGCGGATCTGACCCTAAAAACACCCGAGACTGGATCGACAGTGTTCCATCTGGCAGTCGAGAAAGAATGTGGTGATCAGATCCTGCGAATAATCGCCGAAGAAAGAGGAAAACGTTAGTTCTATGACTTATAATCTTACTTCATCCAATATTTCATAATTGATTAATTGTAGAAAATTCATATTTGAGGCAACACAATTAATCGAATCATCTACAAGAAAGTTGTTTAGAACATTTATGTAGGAGCAATGATGGCTAACTGTAAACAGTAATGGTAGTAACAGTGGAAGGATGACAATGAAACATGATAATAATGATAATGATAATAATAATAATGAATATGGTAATGATAAATATGAAAACATAATGATAATGATATCAATAATAACAATAATGATAATAATAATAATAATAATAATAGCATAATGATGATAATTTAATAACAATGATAATAATGAAAGAATGGCAATCAAATTAATAATAATAATAATAATAATAATAATAATCATTCAAAGAGAAGTTGTGAGAGTGTTCCGAAGTATTCCACTAAAATTGATGATTGTCAACGCATTCAGCACTTCCCTTATCGGTAACGGATGCGAACGACGAGACACCGTTTGCGAAAGCGTTGCTGAATGGATTCGTGGAAGCACCGAGAATCCTGTTGAGAGCCGGAGGAGCCGATGTGAACGAGGTGGATCGTAACGGAGTGCCGTTGTTGCTGAGGGCAATCGCCAAGAAACACGACAACGCGGCCGTCTTTCTGCTCAAAAATGGTGCTGATCCTACAGTTAGGTACGATTCTAGTTACTGATTTACATTTTCTGAGCAAATCTATCCTTCTTCATTGAAATTCGTGTTCCTTCATAACCTTGATTCTGTTGAACAAACGCTTTGATTGCTTCAATAACGTTTTGTTGAGAGCAGTGAATCTGAGACCGTGATGTTTTTGTGGTCTGGATAGGCGTTCAGTGACTTTAGTTTGCCGTCCGGTTCGATGTATTTGTGGAAACTTTTTTTGGGAATTTAGTACTTTTAGAATAAAACTTTGGGAGTGTTTTTTGATGGAAAGAAATTGATGAAGTGGATTTGTAAGTGGTTTTGATGCCGAATGATTGATGCCGTAACAAATTGCAAACATTTTATGTGATTGATGTGCGTGTGTATTGAAATCGTGTTTCGTTTTTTGAGAATGCCTGAGAGTAAGAATTGTTTGGAATTGGCCGTTGAATGTGGTCTATTGGAGACAGTTCGATGCTTATGCAAATCGGGTGCGAATCTGGATTGGCGAGATCCGCTCACTGGCTTACCACCGTTGTGGAGTGCCGTAAGTCAAGGTTTGTGCCGATTTCATCATTTCATTTCAATTGATTTTCTTTTACTCATTACATAAAAGTAATCTCGATATGACGGAAATTACAACACTTTGAGAGGGAAACTTTTAGTGTTTTACACGGAAATTGAGCGGTGATCATGGCCTCAATTGATGCTCCAAGCAAATGAGTTTATTATCGAATGGAATAACGATCTGCCGTATGGCTAGAATTGTACATCATAGGCTTGTTTAGCTTGCGAGCATAAGTTTTTGAGCAGCGAGCGAATTGATTTGTTTGATTCGATGGTTTGAAATTTTGTGTTGGTGGAAAATTTTGGATTCATTTATAGGTTCATTTGACGTGGCTGCAGTTTTGGTGGAGCATGGATGTGATACCAATGGATGGGCGTACAGTGACGACCGTACCTATACACAAACATTACTGCATCGTGCAATCGACTTGAATCTAACAGACGCAGCGATTTTCTTGATTCAGAAGTTGGTTTTTTTTGTATCTCGGGTTGTTCTCGTCAATCGTTGAGCAGTTTAGCGGATGGAGAAAGAGTGAAATATGCTTCGTAAAATTGTTTCTTTCCGTGATGATTTGAACTTCATCGAGTATTGCGATGGAATTTTNAATAATAATAAAGATTGACACGAGTAGCAGTTATAATCGTTCATGCATAGAGGTTTATATGAACAATTGAATTGCTATTCTTCTCAGGAGACCTTCGACAGTCTTCGAAAGATCTTCAAAAGAAGATTTTTCGCTTTGTTCAATTCTTCAACAAATGTACTGGTTTTTGCACCACTGTAAGCACCACATAGCCATCCACGTTCCAGGATTCGGATGGTCGAACGGCGGCCCATTTGGCAGTTGTTGAGCAAAATATGGTTGTGTTGTATGCGATATTGACGGTGTGCGATGCGAGTTGTTTGTTGTTGAGGGATCGATACGGGGCCAGTGCGCTCGGATTGGCCATGCAGAAACGTTACAATCAAGCCGCTGAAGCAATCGTACAGAAGGCACCTCATGCTGTGATGCAGGTATGATGCATACATGCAGTCAACTGCAATTGTTGCAAACTCTTTGCATTATTCTTTGCAAATTTGAGAATGCTTTTGCGGAAATTTCTTGTTGATCATTGATTAATGCTTCCATCCAGCCGTGATGATTTGAAAGCGATGTTTTCACATATGATCAAAATCACAGTTGAATTGCTATGCTCCTAAGAATTATATTTGTATATTGAAAAGCATATTTGAGAAATTTTACAAGTATATTTGAGAAAAGCGATTCTTTTGATCGTTAGGAATACTCAAAGAAGTGATCACTATTAAAATAGTTAGGATAAATTATTAAATCTAATCGGAACGTTCGTTGCAATTCTTTAGAAGAGTTTGCGTAGAAATTTTTTGTTTGTTGATTGTGAGTAATTTCGAATGTGTTTGAGTTTCATTTCGACGATCAATCAAATTTTTCATTGTGCATTCATTACAGATGAACGGAAGCGGTGAGAATCTGCTTCATAGTGCCGTACGAAGTGGTGACTTGGAATCGGTGTTGTTTCTGTTGGCACTTCAGATTGACGTGAATGTTTTGACACAAGACGCATCCAGAGTTACGGCTCTACATCTGTGCGCACAAACTGGTAGCGAAATGATTTTGAGGAATTTGGTTCGTTTGAAACGTAACCTTTCGATCGATCTTCAATCGCCTTTTTCTCTCTCGAAATTTTTTTCAAGCCTTTCGTTTTTGGGAATTTGTGTAAATTTCACTGAGAAGTATGCAGGAAAGATAGGAGAAAATCGAACTATTGGAACGTAAAAAATGTTTTGATTGAGTGATTGAGTTTGCATTCAGTATTTTAACGGTAATGGTCGATTGTGTTTGATGATTTTATTATTGATGTTGTGAGGGTTTGTTATCGGTAATATTCGTTCACAAGTGGATAATTACCTTGATATGTTCATTATTTGAAGATATTAGCCGGTGCTGAGGTGAACGCAACATCAGCAAAAGGCTTCACACCGTTGCACGTGGCAGCTTACAATAATCACGAAGCGTTGTGTGTAATCTTAATGGAGAACGGCGCATTCCCGAATCTAATCGACCAAGAGGGAAATACCCGTGAGCACTTTGGCGAATTTCGGCGTTCAATTTCCATTTCATTTCATTTCTTTTGAGTTTTTTCTTTCAAAAAATTTCAATTTCGGAATTTGCAAAAAATTTCACGGCGATAAATTTTTCGTAAACATTTTTTGGAGTTTGTTTTTTCGGACTTGAGCGAATTTTCAGCGCTACATGCAGCCGTTCTTCAGGGAAGCGTCTCGGCCGTCAATGTGCTGCTGGGCAATCCTGAGGTGAATGCTCGAGCCATCAACAAAAGGTTTGTGTGAGGATTCGACGAACCGAATTCATTTCGGTTCTTCAGTTTCATTCGAAATTCGCTCATTTTACAAGTATATTTGAGAAAAGCGATTCTTTTGATCGTTACGAATACTTAAAGAAATTATCACTGTTTGAAAAGATTGTCGTTTTAATGAAACAGACCAGCAGTATTAATGAATACGAGGAGTTATGCTAGTAATAAAACAGTGCTAACGATAGTAATATTAATGATAGCAATAATAATGCTAATCGGAATTTGTTCTCAGACAGCAAACACCGTTGATATTGGCTGCTGGCACGACGGCCGCATCGAATTCCTTGGATATCCTTCAGATGTTCTTAAGTCACGATCCTGAATATCCCATTGACGCTCCGGATTCGAACGGAAATACACGTAAGGAGCAGTCAATATCGTGTGATTCATTCCAATTGATTCACTTCGCTTATAGCGTTATGATTTCATGTTTTCACTAATGATAAAAGTAATCGCAATAATGAGACTGATAATAATGATACTAAATAATAGGAGAACAAATGATATTGTAATAACCAGAATTTGTTGTGTTATTATTATTATTATTATTATTATTATTATTATTATAGTACCGTTCAGTCAAAATTCAGTTTGCTATTAATGTTTCGGGTGAATTCAGCTAATTTCTGTTCATTTTAGTATTCTTATTGGCTTATATGAATGGCAATTCGGAGCTTTGTAAAGCGGTGCTTCGCTATGGTGTTTGTATGGGCGTAACGAACAACTTTGGTGTGTCGGTATTTAATCACGAAACACCAACAAAACAACTTTTATTCTCCTTACTTGGTCAGAGCTCTTCGATCTGCTATTGTTGTTATTGCGAAAATTTTTTGCCTATTGAAAATCTCAATTTCAGTTTTGTTTCGCTTTAATTCTTGTTTATTCATTTAGTTGATTTCAGAGAAAACAATTCAAATATGGTCACATTTTACTGGATATTTATATTGTTGTTTTCGTTTCAGATAGTCTAGAAAGAGAGCCAAGATGGGCTGATGGTGATACGTGTTCAGAATGTGGTAATAAATTCACGTTAACAATGCGAAAACATCATTGCAGGTAAAAGCAATTGCTTTTGATATGGAATCGGAACTTAGAATTTGAAATTGTTTCTGTTCCAATGAGCTGAGGGGATTTCGTGTGATTTCAGTGTGAAAGATTGGTTTGAAAATG